GGCCCACAGCTATCCTCTGAACAAATTGGAAACTTGCCCTATTCTGTACTGTTTCTGATATGCAGGAACCCATTATTACAGTCACTATGTCGATCCATCTCATTGAAGGTCTTCCTCTCTTTCCCTCACTCTCTCCCAGAGTGATGTCTTTTTCCAAGGACTGCCCCCTCTTTGGCAGCATGCCCACAGTATGTGAGATGAACTGTAACCATCCTGGCCTCTAAGGACCACCCGGGTTGCACCTTCTCTGAGAGAGACCTGTTTGTTCTTTTGGCTTTTGGTGGTCTCTGGCATATTCAATACTTTTCTCCAATACCACAGTTCAAAGGCATACATTCTTCTTTGGTCTTCCTTATTCATGTCTAGTTTTTAGGTTCAGGAGAAGCAACTGAAAGCACTATGACCTGGATGAGCCTTTTAACACTTTGGAGAGGTTTCAATGAAGAATTTCCCAATGCAGTACATCCTTATATTGTTTGACTGCTGCCGCCATACGTGTTGATTATGGATCCAAGTAAAACGAAGTCACTGGCAACTTCAGTCTTCTCTCCATCTATCCTGAAATTGCCTGTTGGCCCAGTGGTGAGGATTTTTGCTTTCTTGATATTGAGATTTAATCTGTATTGAAGACTGTAGTCTTTGATCTTCTTCAATAAATGCCTCAAGTCCTCTTCACTCTCTGCAAGCAAGATTGTATCACCTACGTAATGGAGATTGTGGATGCATCTTCCTCCAATCCTAATACCACATCCTTTGTTTTTCTGTAACAAGAGACCAGGAAAAACCATAATATATTTACTTATGTGGTTGTTGTTTAGGGGGAGGAAAAAACTATGCTCATCAAAGATACACCAACATTTGATTATATATTTTTTCTCTATGAGGAGCTTCGTCTATTTCTTTCTCTCTCCTGGAATTCATGTGGAAATGTGGAAAAGCTTCAGTGATTCTTGGACAAATGACCCTTCTCTTTCTGGACTTTTTTGGTCTTACGACATGCTTCCTCCCGTCCTTCAAGAGTTGTGTGTGTGGTATTTTTCCATTGAGTTAGAACTGACTCAGAGCTGACCCTCCAGCACGTTCTTAGAGGCTGTAAATCCTGTGAGAGGAGATCGCCCTTCTTTTTCCCATGTAGGTTTGGGTTTTTTTCATAAGCAAATTGAACAGAAGTGGCTTATAAGGAAGCATTCCAGGGCTCCTTCCTGCGGGATGGCACTAGTTCTTTGTACCACAGGGGAACCATTTACACCTCCCTTCAGCTCAGCAAGATGGATTGACACCGTGACTGCAAATAGTGGACGTGAGCGTATGAGAAACGGTGAGAATGACGTGAGAATGACGCAAGATAGGGCAGGGTTCAGTTCTCTTGTGCGCAGGGTCACTGTGAGTTGAAGTTAACTCAGCAACACTTCATGACAACAATTAGGCCCCTGGGCCTGGTAGTCAAGGATAGGGGAGGGCCCGCAGCAAGGAATTCATACATACTTGCTAACATACCAATTTAATAAACTCCAGGAACAATAAAGCCTTTAAGATAAAGTCTGTCCTCCCAAAGGGGCATGGAAGCATTCGCATTAATTGTTGTGTTTCATTTACATCCTAATGTTTGCGGGCCAGAGCCACAAACTGAAGAGCCGGAGTGGATGCCAGGAACTTGAAATGCCGCATCAATGCCGTCAGTCTCCAAGCGGACAGGCTGCTTTTCCTCCAGTGACTTTCTTGGCAGAAAATGAAAAAGGAAAAAATAGTTGCATGACTTAAGAAAGTGTGGTGGAGGTTGGTGATAATGGCTTACATTTCTCTAATGCTTTCCTGCTTACAGAATACTCTCACAACATTACTTCCCTGGATTCTCCCAGCTCCCTGCGGTCAATAAGAGAATCATGGACAGTGGTTACAGAAATACTGCCTCTACCACTTACCTAGCAGATGGTGGTATTATTTAAGCCTCTGAGCTATTTTCCTAATTCTTAAAATGGGAATAGTAACACCTTCCTTTTAAGATTACAGGTGTAGTACAGAGTACATGGGATAATGTATAAATAATGACAGATTTATAATAAGTGCTTGGTAAATGGGAAGTGTGTATATATTTAAATATAAAATAAATAAATAAATATATCTATAAACTGTAAATTACATATATATGGATGTCCATCAATTTGAATCCGACCCATCCTACTGCAACCTTCAATATAGATTGAGGCTCAATATCAAGAAAATGAAAGATTCTTACCACTGGGCCAATTGGCAGCATCATGATAGATAGTGAAGAAATTGAGATTGTTAAGAGCTTTAGTTTGCTTGGTCCCGCATTCAGCACTCTTGGCACCAGCAGCCAGGAAATTAAAAGACTAATTGCATTGGGAAAGTCAGCTGTCAGAGATCTCTCCAAAGTATTGAAGAGCAACAATGTCAGTCTGGAGACTTAAGGTGCATCTGATACAGGCCATGGTCTTTGCAGTCACTTGCCATGTGTGAAGGATCTGGACAGTGACTAGGGAGGATAGAAGAAGAATTGATGCCTTTGAGCTGTGGTGTTGGAAAAGAGTATTGAAAATACCACAGATTGCTAAGAGAATGGACAGGTTTGTCCTGGAGAGGGTTAAACCAGGCTGCTCCTTGGAGGCAAGGATTCTGGGGCTTTGTCTGATATACTTTGGACATGTTGCAAGGAGGGACCAGTCCTTGGAGAGGGATGTCATGCTTGGGAGGGTAGAGGGACGGCGCAGGAGAGGAAGACCCTCGATGAGATGGACTGAATCAATGACTGAGGAAAGGGGGGTAGTTGTGTCAGAGACAGTGAGACTGGCACAGGACAGAGCAGAGTTTAGGGCAATTGTACATAGGGTTGCTATGAGTTGCAGGTGACTCAATGGCACATAACAGCAACAACAACCACCCTTCCATGGAGCAGTTGGTGGATTCAAACATGTGCCTTTGAGATTGCAGCACAGCTTCTTGAGACTATGCCACCAGAGCTCTATATAAGAAATGTAAATATGATACATACTGTACTTATCTATAGATTATATGTATCTTGATATATTTTATCTATCTAGATAGTCAGAAGACGCTTCAGTGGCCTAGTGGATAGAGAGTTATGTTGCCAACCCAAAGGTATTCAGTTAGAATCTACTACCTTGCTCCACTGGAGAACAACTTACAACCTCAGAAACCAGGCTGGAGGATGAACTATGAGTTAGTTCAACAACAGCAATAACAACAAACGTATATCACATAGGTGCCTCAGGTGGTGCAGTCCATGGGGAGGTGCACTGTTAATCCAAAGGTGGGGCCTCTCTGGAAGTGCAAATCCACCAGCAGCTCAATGGGATAAAGATAGACCATCTGCTCCGATGTGATTAACAGCCTCTGAAAATCCCGAGGTTGATGGCCATGAGTGTTTTAGTTATGTATCATCTAATTATACAGATCAGTATTTCACTGCCATGAAGCGAGAGACATGAAGACTTCGAGTTGGGAGTGCCACTCACTATGGATCAGCCCACCAGGGCTATATAACACCCTAGATAGATATTGTAATAATCTTTATTTTACTAGTGAAAATCCACTTGTCATAATGTTGATTCTGGCTCATGATGACCTCATGTGTGTTGGAACACGAGTGTGCTCTCTTGAGTTTGAGTTTTCAAGGTTGGGAGGCTTCAGTAATAGATTGCCAGGCCTTTCTCACAAGGCACCTCTAGGTAGACTTGAACCTCCATCTTTCTGTGTGCACCACCCCAGGAACAAGGTCAAGCATTTGCACTGTTCAAAAGACTCCCTTTCCTCCAGAAGAAAAAGACTGCTAATCCAATTCAAAATGAGCAAAAGACATGGAAAGACTTCACAGAGGAGGACATTCACGTGTCCAACAGACATGAAGAAATGCTCCAAATCACTGGCCATAAGAGAGATGCAAATCAAAATCACAATGAGATACCATCTCACCCCAGTAGTAGTGGCAAAGTGTAGCGGGCAGCAAGCAATAAATGTTGGAGAGGGTGTGGAGAGATAGGAACTCATATACTGTTGGTGGGATTGTAAAATAATACAATCACTCTGGAAGGCAGTTTTGGCCTTTCCTCAAAAAGCTGAATGTAGAAATTCCATATGACCCAGCTATTTCACTGCTTGGAATATATCCCAAGAATATGAGAACTGAGGCACAAATAGAAACTTGTACACCAATGTTCATAGCAGCATTATTCACCATAGCAAAAACATGGAGACAATGCAAATGCCCAACCAAAATGGAATGGATTGAGAAATTATGGGACATTCACACAATGAAATGCTATGCAGCATGCAGGAGCAATTATTTTGTAAATCACTGTCTAACATGAGAGGGACTGGAGATCATTATGCTAAGTAGACTAACTCAGTCTCATAAAGACAAATACTGTATAAGACCATTGTTGTAGAATGAGTATGAGGATAAAAGGTGGAGGGTTAGTGCTTAATCATAGGGTCACACAGTTTGATAGGTGGAGGGAGGGGTGGGTAAAGGAAAGGGGAAAGATCCGGTGTGAAAAGCAATGTGTATGAATTTTGTAGGTAAACTAGTATAAAATTTTAAAAATAATTTCTCCCTTTACAGATAAGAAAACTGTAAATGATATCAGTGTCAGATATCACACCATTAATAACTGTCTTACTGTCACTGAGTGGGAAGTGACACATAGCTGACCTTCCAGCAGGTTGTCAGATACTGTAGATCACAGAGGAGGAGACTGTCCTTTTCCCACATAGCAGCCAGTGGATTCGAACCACCTGCCTTTAGTTTAGCAGTGCAACTCCTTACCCACTAGGCCACCAGAGCACCAGTAACTAGGAGAACCAAAAAGCAAGTCCAGTTCTTCTGTCTCATTCCACTTTCCTAATGCAGGACAGGAACGTGTCGGTCTGTCTGTTGACAAGCTTCGTCACTCCACTTACTCTCTGATTCTGTTTCTGTGGTGCATTAATACTGCAATTGTCCACTTTTGTATCCACAGAACATCATCAAGAAGGTGATCGGGCAGAAGTTTGTGTACAAGTTTGTGTCTTTCCCAGAGATCCTGAAGATGGATCCGCACGCAGTGGAGATCAGCCGAGAGAGCCTGTTGCTGCAGGATAGAGACTGCAAGGTGTCTCCCGAGGGCCGCGAGCCCCACAAACACAGCCTGTCTGCCTTCAAGAGCACCAGCCGCAACGAGTACATCCACTCAGGCCTCTACTCCTCCTTCACCATCAACTCCCTCCAGAACCCGCCCGATTCCTTCAAGGCCATCAAGACAGAGAAGCTGGAGGAGCAGCCCGAGGGCAGCCCTCCCGTGGAGGAAGTCAGGACTGTCATCAGGTTTGTGACCAATAAAACCAGCAAGCATGTCACCCGGCCTGTGGTGTCTCTGCCCTCCACGTCCGAGGCCGCAGCCACATCAGCCTACCTGGCCTCGTCTGTCTCAGCCAAGATCTCCTCCCTAATGTTGCCAAATGCGGCCAGCATTGCCTCCACATCGCCGTCCTCATCTCGGTCCCCGTCCCTGTCCCCCAACTCACCCCTCCCTTCTGAACACAGGAGCCTCTTCCTGGAGGCCGGCTGCCATGACTCGGAGTCCCTGGAGCCCTTGAACCTGTCATCAGGCTCCAAGACCAAGTCTCCGTGTCTCCCCCCAAAGGCCAAAAAACCCAAAGGCTTGGAAATCTCCGCACCCCCACTGGTGCTGTCCGGCACGGACATCGGCTCCATAGCTCTCAACAGCCCAGCCCTGCCCTCAGGATCCCTCACCCCAGCCTTCTTCACCGCACAGGTAAGAGCCAGCTCTGGCCCCCTGGCTTCGCAACAAGGGAGAAAGAGCGGCCTGCATGCCTTCCTTTCATCTTTTAAAAGATAAGGGCACACCAGACGATGGTGTAGTCCACAGGGAGATAAGCATCTCTCTGGTGGTTCAAATCTACCAATTCTCCATGTCAGAAAAACGGACCAGCTCTTCCCATGCAATTCACAGTCTTTGAAAACCCACCAGAGGGTCAGCTATGAGTTGATTCCAACTTGACAGTAGTGAGTTTAAGTTTTTGAATTTTTGAAAGATAAAAGCATACAATCCACCCTGATGACTGTCAAGTCCAGCTCATGGTGGCCTCCCAATGTGTCAGGAATAATTGTGATCCACAAAGATTTTTAACAAATACAATGGGTTTATTTCTGGTGCCAGGATACAAAACCAAGACTGTATCCATTCACAGTTTCTGCACGGACACTCAGTAACATGGGTTACATCACACTGAGTCAGCATTCCTTCTCTACCCACCTTGTTTCCTCAGCATTCATTTAGACTTTCTGTCCCTGCCCATTTTCATCTGTGCTTTAGATCAACTGTTGCCAGTTTATTATACTCGAGATAATCAGATAATCATAAGGACACTTGAGGAGGCAAAATGTTACTAATTGGGCTAAACAGTTGTTTAGTTTAATGATGGCTTCATAGGTTTGTTTCAGTTCAAGCTTTAAAGATTACTTCTGGGCATTAGATTTGGGGTTTCCCCTCGTCTCAATGGATCCAGTAAGTCTGGCTTCCATGTGAGTGTGAAGTGCTGTTCCACATTTTCCCTCCTTTTGATCAGGATCTGTCTGTTGGACCCTTGATCTTTATTAGATCTCCAAGGGCTGATTTTTCAGAAGCAGAATGAAGCACTCTGGGTGGACTCAACTGGCCAATCTTTCATGTAGCAGCCAAGGGCATTAGCCATTTGCACAGCTTTTGTATACTCTGTATGTCTCTCATTCACTCTTGTTGCCTCTAAGTTGGAACCACCCATAGCTGACCCTCCAGCAGGTTTTCTGAGGCTGTAAACTATATGGGAGGAGACTGCCCATCCTCCTCTCTTGGATCTGCTGGTGGACTTGAACCACCTACCTTTCTGCTGGCTGTGGAACTCCTTTCCACTCGAGCACCAGCTCTTCTTTCATTTCCTTAAGTCTGTGTAAATTACTTAAGACAGGAAGGGAAATTATTTCTCCATCCTCACACCAAAATGTCCACAAGAGGAAAAAAAGTTGGTTTACTGTTTACAGAAAGAAATTTGACTTTTTTTTTCCCTTGCTTTGAGTGGCCTAAAGAGATGAAAGCTGATCTAAATGATTATTTTCCAGGAAAAGTTGATCAGGCCAGTTTACATTTCAGAAGGCATTTGGGTTTTATGAAATCTTTATGGCAGAATCCTCTCTGGGGCACTTACTAAGTCTCTGTTCTCTCTCTCTCTCAGGTTGGAACTGACTTATAGGAGACCCTCCTTAGGGATTTCAGAGACTATAAATCATGTGGGAGATTACCTGTCTTTTTCCCACTGAGGCCCTGGTGCATTCAAACCACCTGCTTTTGGGTTGGCAATGCAAATCCTTACCACTAGACCACCAGAGCTTTCTAGATATCTATAGATCTGTATACATAGATGCATTCCTATGACTAAATGAAGACTAATAACTACCTGTTAACTAGGGAGCTCTGGTGGCTTTTTGCTGTTGTTAGGTGCTGTCGAGTACAACTCATTGCAACCCTATGTCTTATCCTGTGTCATCCTTAATACCTGCGCTGTACTCGATCCTACTACTGCAGGCACTGTCATTTCATCTTGTTGAAGGTCTTCCTCTCTTTTGTCACCTGTCTACTTTTCCAAGCATGATGTCCCTCTCCAAGGACTGGCCTCTGCTAACCACGTGCCCAAAGTGTGTGAGATGAAGCTCTCCGTCCTCCCTTCCATGGAGCACTCCAGATGCACTTTGTACAAGAAATGTCTGTCTGTTCTTTTGGCAGTCCGTGGGACACTCAGCACCTGTGGTTCAAATTCATCAGCTACTCTTCAGGAGAAATATGAGCAGACTCCTCTCATGTGATTTACTGCCTCTGAAAATTGTCTGGAGTATCAGATATGAGTCTATTCTGACTTGACAGTATCTAACGACATTAATATCTAAAATGAAAAGGGCTTAACTCGCTCAGCATTTCTTAAGCTGAAGGAACTGAAGAACATATTCAGGCCTTGAATTGCAATACTTAAAGATGCTGTGAGCAGAATACTGAATGATCCAGGAAGCATCAAAAAAAGATGCATGGAGTACATAGAGTCACTGTACCAAAAAGAACTGGCTGACACAGAAGAATTTCATGAAAACAACATATAATCAAGAGGCAATGGTGATGAAGGAGGAAGTTCCAGTTGCTCTGAAGGAACTGGCAAAAAAAACAAAGTCCCAGGAAATGATGGAATACCAGTTGACATGTTTCAACAGACAGACACTGCCTTGGATATGCTCAACATGTTGTGGCAAGAAATCTACCTGGCCAAATGACTGGAACAGATCCATATTTATTCCCATTCCAAGAAAAAGGTGACCTGACAGAGTATGGAAATTATTGACCAATATCTAATATGACAATATATCTAATATGACACACAAACAATATCCTGCTAAAGATTATCCAAAAATGACTGGAACAGTACATTGACAGAACTATCAGAAATAATAGTCAGATTTAGAAGAGGCCATAGCACTAAAGCCATTATCACTAATGTCAGATGGCTCTTGGCTGAAAACAAAGAGTACCAGAAGAATGTCTATCTGCACTTCATTGACTATACAGCAGCATTTGATTGTGTGGATCACAATAAATTCTATCTAACCTTGAGAAGAATGGGAGTCCCAGAACGCTTCTTTGTGCTAGTGCAAAACCTATACTTGGATCAAGAAACAGTCCTCAGAACAGAGCAAGGAAACAAAGCATGGTTCAAAATCAGGAAAGGAGTGTCTCAATCCATTTCATTCTTATGTGGAGCAGATCATTAGGGAGGCTGGATTTTTTGAGGAGGAATATGGCTTTAGGATTGGAGGAAGACTCATCAACAACCTACATTATTTTTTTATTTTTTTTTTACTGAAAACTAGTTTTATTTTAAAATTAAGTGCATAGCACTCATCTAATTCCATTGGTGTAGATTTTTAGCACCATACTTGTTGTTTGTACTTAATGTGGTAACAGATAACATTTTGGTTTGCAGTCTGTACTTGAGTAGTGTCTATGTAGTGGACTTTGGTAAAGCCCTTTATACATACTTTCACAGTACACATTTAATGATGGTCCCTACATTATTAAAACGACACAGCCTTGTTTGCAGAAACTAAGGAGGACCTGAAGCATTTGCTACAGAAGGTCAGGGACTCTATAGTTTTCGATGTGGATAGAAGCTCAATATCAAGAAGACAAAGATTCTCACCACTGGGCCAACTGGCAGCATTGTGATAGATGGAGAAGAGATTGAGATTATTAATAACTTCAGCTTGCCTGGTTCTACAATCAACACTCTTGGCATCAGTAGTCAGGAAACCAAAAGAAATTGCAATGGGGAAGTATGCTGTCGGGGACCTCTCCAGAGTGCTATAGAGCAATGATGTTAGTCTAGAGACTAACATGTGCCTGATCAATGCCACGGTCTTCACAATTACTTGCTATGCATCAGAGAGCTAGACAATGACTCAGGATGATAGAAGAAGAATCAATGCCTTTGAGTTGTGCTGGAACATAGTATTGGACTGCCATAGGATATAACCTGGTCTACCAAGAGAACAAACAGGTCTGTCTTGGAGAGGTTGAAACCAAGTTTCTCCTTGAAGGCAAGGACTTTGAAGCTCCATCTTATACTTTGGGCCTGTGACCAGGAGGGACAAGTCCTTGGAGAAGGAGATCATGCTTGGAAGGGTGGACAGTGCAGGAGAGGAAGACCCTAGATGTAATGGATCAACACAGTAACTGCGGTTAATGGGCTGGGTTTGTAGAAATTAGACTGGCTCAGGATATGGCAAAATTCAAGGCTCTTGTACGTAGGATTACTATGAGTCACAGATGACTCAGTGGCACATAACAACAACAACAACATATAGGTTAATACATATGTTGTTGCTGTTGTTGATGGCCATCAAGTTGAGCATGACTCATAGCAACCCTGTGAACAAAAGACCTGAAGCCTTTCTATAAATATCATCATTTCTCTAAGATCATAGTTTTCAGAGGCATGTGGTTTAGGAAGTGGATGTAGCTCCCACTCAGTCAATTCTTGCTGTTGAGTTGAAACCAAATCATAGCTGACCCTCCAGCAGGTTTCCAAGGGTGTAAATCACACAAGAGATGCCTGTCTTTCTCACAAGGAGCTGCTGGAGGATTTGAACCACCAGAGAAGTATGGTTTGGGGGTTTAGCCCCTACTCCACCAGAGCTCCCTTTCATATGTACCAGCCACTATTCTCAGCATCTTACGTACATCCACTTATTAGTGTTATCATCCCATTTTCCAGCTAGCAAAATGAGGCACAGAGGGTAAGGTTAACTCTGTCCACAACATAGAGGTGGTGGAAATGAATTTGAGTGAGTCTCGAGGTCAGGCTCTTAAGTATAAATGAAGGCTGTGCCCTGGAGAGCTGTCACTGATGAAATGTCCTGTCATCCCTGGGTATAATGGCAGCCAGGGTCCTCGAGAAATTCAGGTCTGCAAAGTGGCTCTTGGGCATTTCCCTCTGTGTGGTTTAGGGATTTCAGGGCATGTCAAGCTTGTCAGTCATGGTAAGTGTCTCTGCATAGTACAGAAGATTAACATGCTGTGCATCTGGCTGAAAGGTTAGCCTTTTGAGATCACCTGAAGGTGCCTCAGAAGAAAGACCTGGCAGTCTGCTTCCCAAAAAGGCAGCCATTGAAAACTATGGAGCACAGACATCCATGGCATCACCATGAGTGAGTATTCACTCCTCTGTGGTTATTTTT